CAAAAAGGTTGCTTTTGGATGTAAAATGTCTGCTGGGGGCTGTTCTGAAAGTCTTTTCAGAAATAATGTTTTCTGCGTTCCAGCAGCTCTGATGTAGCTCCCCAGGAGCCTGGAAAACGAGATTAAAAATTTGATAGTTTGATTGGCAAATGCTGGATGAAATCCAACGGGGCTGGGGCCCAAAAGTGTTATATTGATCCGACCTGACGCTGAACCGCAGCGCCGAAATCGGAAGATCCGCGGTGTCAAGTCATATTTCCTATGCGCACACTGTTGATATTGAGGTCCCGCTGTACTCTGTTACCTGCCGGGATTTCTGTCAGTGCGTACGCGGTCCTACGTCGTGCATACCATAAGCAATAATTTACAATAAAGTTGTGCACTTTTCCATTTTTACTGTAAAGGAGTTTCTACCTTGCCCCCCGCCGCCTCACAGGCTTTCGTTTCTCTTCTGTGGGACTCCCGGAGCGGTAGCTGAAGGGCTTATGACTCAGTATTTAAAGAAAGAACCGAGATGTCAGGGACGTGGCTACAGTCACACCTTCAGCCACCTGTGAAACCTGGGGCTGTATCACACCCTGGAAGGAGTGGACATCATTAGGGCGGGTCAACGTAATTAATCGCTCTGGGCAGACATCCTCTGCTCCCGAGTCTCCTTCTCAAGGCTCCTGCTTGTTTATTTTCCAATTAAATTTAGCAGGAAGGGGGCAATTAAAAGAAAGGCATGAAAGCCCAGCGGCTCGGTTGGTATCACACGCCGCAGTGCAATGGAGCTGCGTTATCTCCATCTCCCCAGGCTCTGCACTCCGCAGATAAAGATTTTAATTCCCATTTAGTGAACGGAACTATCGCGGCCCGCAATCTCTGTCTTCCCCTTTCCCTCGCCCCAACGTATTGCTGTTTGCTTTCTACGGCACAACTCTCCCGGGGGACCGAGAACGATTGCTGTTGTCGAGCATCCTCCTCCTCCTCCTCCTCCTCCTCCTCCTCCTCTTCCTCCTCTCACCTGCAGCACCTTTCCCCGCGTCAGCACCTTTCCCCGCGTCATTAGCCCGTGGCTAAGTGTTTGGGATGGCCCCTGCCTTAAGGAGCCGGGGGGAAGCGGGGATGCAAAGCGCGTGGGATGGGGGCCAGCAAGCAGAGCGCAGCAGCACCAGCACAAACACGGTGCTTCAAACCCCGGCCCGGCGCTATTCAGAGGGGTTTTGGGGGTGCTGCTGCTTCCTTTTTGGCATGCCCGTAACAGTTAATCGACGCTTCCTTTTGCTGCTCGCCTGTGGCACTCTGCCCCTTTGGATGAACTCACTGTCTTCGTGCCGAAGGAGCATGCTTCCCACCCGGCGTGGCTGGGTGACACCTAGCTGCATCTGCTCGCACAGATAAAATAATTCCGTAACTTGGGATAAACTCTGCAGGGCTTGATTTTGCAGGGTTCAGCTGAGGAGCCAACCCAGCTGCTCCCGGTTTGCTAATGGCTGGGATAAGTGCCTGCCCCCCCGACACCTGCAACAGGCTGCGTTTGCAGGGAGCCCTTTGCTGGTGGCATCTCTGAGCCCAGCTCAGAGGAGGGCACCATCAGGGAAGTCTTTAAGTTGCTCCTTTTGGGCAGAGCTCGCTGCAAACCCCGAGGAAGCGTCCCAGGGTGAAGCTGGGTATCTGTGCCGCCCAAACCACCCGCCACGCTGCCGTGACGCAGGCGCAACAGGCAGCGGCTCCTCGGGTTTTCTTGGGTTGCTGCTCCTGGGTGGAGCCCCCTTCCCCAGGTGATGGGGATCAGGCAGCCCTGGGGGGGGGGGGGCTGTGCTTGTTAGGGCTTGATGGGCATCAGGCTCGTCCAACTGCAGCTATTTCACTCGGCTTCTCCCCCAGCACGCTTCTTCTGAGAGCTTGGGCTGGGAGGACCTTCTCTGTGCTGTGTATCAAAGCATTGCTCCAAATTCAATGTGTGTTGGTCCTAAAGACTCCGGATGAGCATCCGCGGGCTTCGCTACAGCAGGTAGGGGATGAAATGGCTGTACTGCACCTTGTTAAATGGTCCGGTGAAGCTTCTTGGAGGTGTTTTTGTCTTGGCTCTGGTGGTGCTGGAGCTGCTGGTCGGTAATTCCCCAGAAGCCGTTTTGGTGGCGATTGCTGCAGGCCCGAGCTACGGTGCATCCCGGGCCGCTGCTGCGGCTTTGGAGGCGTTGAGCTGTCAGGCTCCTCGTCTCGGTTACGAGACCCATTGCTGCCTTAAGGCAACGGGCGAGGCTCAGGCTGGTGTGCGGTGACCTAACCGGGGGCTGCAGCGGGTTTGTCTTGGGAGAGCCCAAACCTTAGAGCCCCCCCCCCCCCCAGCTAACGGCAGCAGCCCCTTCCAAGGAGAAGGGAGCTGAAGTGATCTGGCCGTTTCCCTGGCGGGTTCGCCTTTGGCGAGGGTGGTGGGTAGCGCTGTTTCTTTGTTGGGGGCCACAGGAAAATGAGTTGCCTGTTGCTGCTTAAATGCTTGCAGTTGGTATTTTGGGTTGTTCTCTTGGAGAACGTGCCGTTTGGGAAAGCGCGGGGGAAACGGGGCCCCAACCGCGTATTTTTATGGTCTCGCAGCTGTACAGCAAAAATCAGCGTCACGTTTGCATCGTGCTTCAGTGTATTTACGCAATGTGTTGGCAAAACGCAGGTCAAAATGTTCATGCAATGTTTGCCTCTTATTTAACTGCAAAAAGATGGGACAACTCCCTCTTTCCAGAAACAGCACTAATGGCCTGCAGAAGGGACAGCGTGGTAAATAAAGGCACGGGACCCTGAAGGTGGTTCCTGACTGTTTGATTTGATTTCTGGGCATTGTAAGGAGCTCGTGTGGTTTTCTACTGCAGAAAATAACCAAGGAACTCGTGTGGTTTTCTACTGCAGAAAATAACAAAGTCATCTTGCTAAAGGATAAAAAACAATAATTAAAAAAAAAAAAATAAATCTTGGAATAAATCTCCTCTAACAAAACCCGTTAGGAGAAGTAAAATAAGCCAGGGCAAAACTGGAACAAACTGGCAGGATTCACATGCAATACAAAGGCTTCTAAGTATATACGTGGCAATGTGGTGCTTAACTTATTATGTGGGGTTTTTTTTCTCAATATGCTGTTTCTGTTTAATCGTGGTGAAACAAGCACAGATGTGAACTCCCCAGCCTGAGCACCCAAAGCTTGTTGTGCCCTTTAATGGTCTTGTTATTCATTAATTAAGTACAACTGGCCCAACAGATGCTGCGTGATTAATGAGTGGAGGGACTGTTACTTGGTGACTCAAAACACGGAGGGGGGGGGGGGCTTGGGGGCGGGGGGGGGCTCCTGGAGCTGTTCGGTGCGTGTTTTGCTCTACAGTTGCGACAGCGTTCAAAACCGGCTCGTGTGGAGAGCGTTATCCTTTGGCCCTTTTACCCCGTGTTTGGAAAACTCTTACTAAATCCCAGCGTAATCGTCCAGCAGAGGTGATGTTTTTGATGGAGTAAGTGAGTACCCGCCTGGATGGAAGGAAATGGTGAGCGAGGAAAGGAAGGAGCCGTCCCCACCCAAGTATCCCCTCGCTTCTGAGCATCGGCACGCTCTGCGTCTCTCTCCATGCCTCCCTTTTTTATTTCTTTTTTTTTCCTTAGTGGAGGAGGGGAGATTTGCTATTTGCATGGCAGCCCAGATTTATGGGCTTCTTTTTTTTTCATCCTGGCAGCGTGCAGTTTAAGAACCCTCCCTGCAGATTTATCAGCTTCTGCAGTTTCTTGCTGCTGTCAATGTTTCTCCCACATTGAAGCAACCTTCAGGCTAAAGCTGGGAGGAGGTTGGGTGTTGGTGTGGTTTATTTTAACCTTCCCGAGAGTGGATGCAATCAGGGCGCTGTGCTGCCGAGCTCGAGGCGGTGCCCAGGCCAGCCCTGCCTGCCGGTCGGGCCCACGCAGGGGGTTACTCCCCATGCGATGCTCTGTTCCCCGGCTGGCCATGCGGTTTGCAGCTCTCCCGGGGTCGGCGGAGGTGATCGGCGTGGGCTCCCGGCCCCCGGGGTGGGCTTTGAATGCCTCCTGCTTTTCAGCATCAACAGCCAAAAGCGGATTTTTCCACCTATTTCTGAGCCGTTTCCAGCAGAGCCGCTCAGCTGCGTGGATACCCAATGTTCAAAACAACCTCATTGTGAAATCGAACCTTTTCATATCTTTTGCAGATAAAACCCGAGCTGCTCTTGCCCTTATCTTGTGCACAGACCTTTGCTTGCTTGGGCAGCGTGGGTGGGTGCTCCTCCCAGCTGTGCCCTGGTCCCGTTCCTCTGCACCCAAGCTCCTCCGCGCCCGAGGCTGTGCCCCGGTCCCGCTCCTCTGCACCCAAGCTCCTCCGCGCCCGAAATCCTTTGAGCATCTTCCAGTGGGAGGGTGAAGGGGGGCTGCCAGGTCTGGTTGGAGCATGAGGTGTTGAGCTGGCAGCATGCAAGGGGAAGACCAGGAGACGGTGGCAGCTAAAAAGGGTCTGCGGGACATCTCTGGGGCGAAATAGCAACAGCCATCTGTGCTGAGACAGCAGCTTCGTGCTGCGAGATGCCGGGGGGCGCCAGCTGAGGTTCCCTGTTATCCATGCGCTTCTCTGGTGGGATCCCTGTGCCTTGGCTGTCCCTGACCTGGCTTGCCTGGGCGAGATGTTTGCAGGTGCTACGTGGGGTCTCTGCCAGGCGGGAGGGAGCTGATGCAGTGTGTTACTAGCAGCTCTAATGATAACGGGTAACGTATGCTGCTGGAGGTCAAATAAGGACACATGTCACTGCCTTTGGGCTGAAATCCTCCCCAGGCGGGGTGCTCTGAGCCAGAATACACCTGGCAGAGGAAGGCTGAGCTGTGGTACTGGTGCCGGGGCTCCTTGGGGTGATTTTTGTGCTGTGCCTTAAGGAGTGACTGTCCAACCCTGCAGGCAGCGATGCGCTCGGCAGCGGGACTAACCATCCTGCAAAATGCATCCGCCTGCGGGCTGATGTATGCTCGCCTCCGTTGCCCACCCTCTCCCACGGGACAGCTCCAGCTCACGGTGGTCCCGCATCGGTCCGGTTTTTTGTCCCCTCTGCGCTTTCTCCAGACGGAGAAAGTCTGACCACCACGGCCTCAGCGGCGCCAGCCCACCTCGCCCCTTGTGCTTGGACCCTGCGTGTTTAAACCCAGATATTTCAAACATTGTCTCTCTTTCTTCCTCTCCAAATTAATACGGGCACTGATAATCTCTGGCTGACTAATAAATCACGTCGTGCAACAATGATAACAATGGCTATTTAAAAAAAAAAAAAAGGTAATGTTAGGAGTTCCCAGTCTCCAAAAGCAACTTGTGCTGCAGAGTCAGGAAGGAGCTGAGTAAACAGAAGGCTCTGGCTGCCGTCCCTGACGGGCTGCCAGCCACCCTGCTGCGATAGCGCCCCGCGGCGCCGGGGAAGCCGGTGGCCTCCCGCGGGGAGCAGGCTGAGCCCTGGGGCGGGCGGCGGGGACACACGCGGGGCTGCCGGACCCCGGGGTCCGAGCCCTGCTCTCCGCGGGTTTTGGCCGCGTCTGTCCGTCTGCTAGAGGTGTTCAAGGGCTGCTGGCTGAGCGTCCGGGGAGGCGAGATCACACTGAATAGCAGGGGATTGACCTAAAAATGTTGAGCCTTGGGGATGGGCAGGCTGAGCCCTGGGGCGGGCGGCGGGGACACACGCGGGGCTGCCGGACCCCGGGGTCCGAGCCCTGCTCTCCGCGGGTTTTGGCCGCGTCTGTCCGTCTGCTAGAGGTGTTCAAGGGCTGCTGGCTGAGCGTCCGGGGAGGCGAGATCACACTGAATAGCAGGGGATTGACCTAAAAATGTTGAGCCTTGGGGATGGGTGAATTGAGTGTGCAGGGGTTTTTAATTGGTTTATCTTATATACGGGGTGCTCTTCCCAGGCTCTTTTTCCTGCAAGCGGGAGGACTGGACCGTAGCTGGAATATTAGGCTGTCATAGAAATGACCTGGTAGCAGCAGCGGGGCACTAAGAAAACTAGAAAGTTATTACTCTGAAAGCCATAATAAAGCTGCCTGAGCTTGGCAGAGCTCCTCATTGGCACAGATTTGTTTACACGCAAGTCTGCGCAAAGGGAAAGGCTCTCCAGATGCTTACGGGAACGGGACATCAGTGGGAATTCGTCCTGGGAGCTTTCGGCTGCCTGGCCGGCCTCCTGGGGCTGGGGGTCCTGCCTCCCGGGAGCACCAGCCTCCTCGCAAGGAAATACCTTGTGGGACGAAGGGCAGAGTCCCGATTAACTAACACCAAGGGATGTTTTGCCCTTTAATTTTGCCGTAACTCGTGTCCGAAAGCTCGGTGCAGTGCCTTGCAAGTGCTGAAACTGCTGACTAGTTTGTATTGGGTGGTCTGGGGGCTGCGTGTCGACGGGGTGTGTAAAATGCGGCGGCGTAATCGCCTCTCGCCGCGTCTTCCTCGCAGACAGAGCGCGTTTCAGAAAACAAAGAGAATTAAATGCGATGCTGTCCCTTAGCGCTTGCATGCGGAAGGATCTCTCCTCCCGCTGAAGTGCTGGTAGGGCGAGCAATATTATACGACAATACTTTTGGAGGAGTTATGCTGTAGTAGGGGGGAAGGTGAAGAAGAGGACAGATGTTTAAAAAAAAAAAAAGCGAAGCCCAACAATCCCTCCTTTTAATTTCAGGGGGAGATTTAGGGATATTACTGTTGGAATCCCACCAGGACACCTGGCTAATGAACACGCCCTCTGGCTGCAAAATAAACAGTGGGATTTTTTAAGGCCAAATGATCCAACCCATCCTGTTAAGTTTAGTCTGGGATTTTGAGCTCGGAGAAGTCGGAGCGAGTGGTAATTTGCCTGCTGATGACCTGCAATCTGAAGCATTTTTTGCGGTGGTGGCAGAGTAAGAGCCTGCACCAGGGTGCCGCCGCTGCAAAAAAAATGCTTCAGCTTTGCTGAATACCCTGTTATTCCTGAATCTCATAATATATCCCGGTCATCCGCTTTGCCGGGCGAGCTGTTAGATGGTTTGGCAATGCAGGGAGGGTTGTGCTCCTCGAGGATGTTCCTGAAGTGGTGGCTGGAGCAGTGTGGCCAGGGGGAACTGCAATATGCCTGCCCAACCAGGGGTTGCCTAAGAAAAGGAAAACTGGGCCATTTCATCTGCTCCTGCAATTACTGGCCCTGAAATACAAACTGGTGAAAGATAATTGCTAATTGCAAAGGCACGGGGAAGTCTTGCACGTTTTTTCCCCCCGAAGTTGTGTGTCTGTTCTTTGTGGGGAGCTGGCCGCAAGGGCAAAATACAGTGGGAAAACATTTTTAGCATACTCTGATGCTTTTTTTTTTTTGCATAGCTTGGGATTCTCCCCTGTCAGTAGTAAATGCTGGAAGGGATTTCCATTTTAGCTCGCTCCATTTAGTAACTGCATTTCCCCCCCCCCCCCCCAGTGCAAATGAATAAAGGTTATTAAATACTCACAGCAAGGACTGCAAAGTACTGATATGGATACTGGAAATTCAGACATGTGCCCGCTCTTCAGAGCCTGCAGCAGCCCTTCTGCAACGCTGGGCCTGACAGTTAAAGCAAAAAAAAGTAAAAATTAAAAAAAAAAAAAAACCAAAAACAACCCTAACCCAAAAAGGAACCAAAGCA